GTTTACAGAGTCAGCATATTGCCCCCAACAACAATCCGGGTTCTCATTTTACCCACCTTGGAAGGATGAGTCAACCCTGAGCCGGTGAGATTTGAACCGCTGAACTGCTGATCTAGCAGTAGCCTGCAGTGCTGCATTTAACCACTGCGCCACCTTGGCTCAAAGACCAAACTGAGAAGCATTCATAGGAGAAAGATGACAGAGGACTGGAAACTGCAAAGGAACCAGAAACATTTACCTCTGAGAAGTGAAGACTGGGAGGTGATCCAACAGTACTCTTGGGATCAAACCTGTCGGATATGAGATCTCAGATAATTGAGAATTCCACATTCTTTACAATACCTGCTTCTGAAGTATTGTCGTCCATCAGCTTTTCCTGTGTCAGGCGAATAATATTCAACATTTCCTCAAATATTTCATTCAGAAGCCCAGCCTGCTTACACTTCTTTAAAAATTCTATCCTTTCTGTGGAAAGAGAAATACAATGATGTGCACTTTATATTTTTAATTTCAGGTTCATCTGGCACAGTGAAGCACTGTCCAGTAACAATTATTTCCAAGGCAGAAAGCATGAGGAAAAGGGTGGTGGTGTGGTGTTGAAGAAGCATCAGGAATATTCCTCTCAAAGAGATCAACAGGATGGTTTCTAAATGAAACGGCCAAAAGACAACGCCTGAACTTCTGATTTTATTTCATTATTTTGTTTTCTTTTTCTCATTCAATGAATGAATGAATGTATAAACAAAATAAAACATAGGACTCTAGGTAACTAGCAGAAATTAAAAAAGACAAAAGATTATTAAATAGGTAACAAATATAGGTGCTGAGATTAAAAACAAATCAAGCAAAACCATCAACTTAAACAAGATACAAACTCAACTGTATAACCCAGTCTCCAAGCTAGCCAACCAACCCAGGTTTTTAAGATCTTGTAGAATGCAAGAAAGGTTGGGGCAGGACAAATCTCTGGGGAATGACACCATAACACCCTCCAAGGAACCCCAGATCACCCTCCCTTGTAGACAGACCTGAAGCATGCCTTTTAAGGTTTTAGAGGTTTAGGCTTTTATTACAAGGAGGCAATTAGGAATAGAAATAATTAAGTTGAAACTATTGACTGAATCCAGCAAAATCTTCCCAGATGGAAATTCTCCCATTAGCAGGAGGCTTTTGAGCCATTAACCCACATGCCAAAAAAGCTGGACCAACCCAGTGTGTTTAGACATGCTTCTTCAAGGGAAACACCACCATCCCCATCCAAACATCTCAGCTTCATCTTGTTTGAGCCAAATAGCTCAACTCTTTCATATTACAGATTTCTATGCAGAAATGAAGAACATCATCTCCATAATTTTCCATTAATGGACAATTGAAGAATCACCTCTAAGTAAGGAGATGCTATTTATAACTATACTTGTGATTGGAAAGGTGAGAAAGTTGCATAAACTGCCTTAGGACAGAAATAAATAACAACCATCACCCCTATATTAGGAATTCTAACAAATGACAAATATAGCCCATGTTTTTACCTTTGGTTTGGTCACTGATGACTTCCATGTTCTCTTCCCCAATTGTCTCACCATTCTGCCAATATTTGATTTAAAATAGCACCGTTATAAATGGCCCAGATTACTGATATAACTCCTATCGCTATATATTCATTTTTAACAAAGTCAAGTCTCAAACTAAATTCTTCCCAAGTATCTATACTATAAAATTATACCTACTCATATCTCATTTATTAGTAAAATCATTACAGATTTCTTACAGTAAATATTGTTTATAATGACTTTTACAAGTTTTTAAAAATGTTTTGGTCCTAAATTGTTTTAATAATAAAATTTTTATACTAAAAATCCCCCAGAAGTGCTCACATAGTAAAACAAAAAGTTTTAAAACCTACAACACAGGATGGCAGTACCAGCATACATACTACCAAAATTAAAACAAAAAGCTACTGTAAGAATTACTTCCAAGTAAAAAAAGTAGAGAAATAAATTGTTAAATTTTCAGAATGTGACAGCTCAGATTATCAGCTTCTCTTAGACTAAGAATAGGGCAGTGATGGCGAACCTTTTAGAGAGCAAGTGCCTAAACTGCAACCCAAAACACATTTATTGCAAAATGCCAACATGGCAATTTAACCTGAATATTGAGGTTTTACTATCTAAAATAATGAAAAACAAGGCAGAGTTCAGCTAATTGTTCTAAGAATAATGGGATAAATACATTTTATGCCCCTTCATTTTTTTCTGCTTTTGAAATATTACGTTTAGCAACATTAAAAAAGAATATTTTTTTTGTAATATCATTTCTTTCCCCCTTTCTCTCCCTCCCTTTCTCTCTTTCCCTCCCTCCCATTCTTTCTGTCTTTCTCTTCCCTCTTTCCCTCCCTCTCTTTCCCTCCCTCTTTCCCTCTCTCTCTTTCCGTCCCTCCCTTTCTCCTCCCCCTTTATCTCCCTCTCTCTGCCTGTTTCTCTTTCCCTCTCTTTCTCTTCCCCCCCTCTCCTTGTGTTTCTCATTCCCTCCTTCTCTCCCTTTCTCTCACCCCTCTCTCTGTCTCCCTCTTTCCTGCCTTTCCCTCCTTCCCCCTCTCCCCCTTTCTCTCTGTCTCTCTCTTTTCCCTCTCCCTCTCCCCCCTCTCTCTGTCTGCCTTTCTTTCTTTCTTTCTTTCTTTCTTTCTTTCTTTCTTTCTTTCTTTCTTTCCTCTCTCTCTCTTCCCCACTCTTTCCCACCCTCTTTCTCTTCTCCCCCATTCTCTGCCTATCTCTCTTTCCCTCACTTTCCCTCTCTCTCTCCCCCCCCCCCGGGGGGGAAGGATCCCCTGAACTGGTGCTGGGTGGTGGGAATCTGATGTACATCCGTAGGCCAATAAGCCCAGGAGCAGCATGCCGAAATAGCATTTAATGGGGGTGGGTCTAGTACTATGCTTAACAGCTCTATTTTCAACAAGCATATCAATCTCTAGCAATGTAGCAGTAGCGGCAGTTATCAGTCAGAAAATGACACATGTCAAAATAAAAACAAAATGTATTTGAGATGCTCTAAGAACCTGAAATTCTGCCCCTACAAGGTGGGGGCCATGTGTGCCTGAGTCACAACGGAAGGTGGTGACGAAGTGTGGCCTCTTAAAAGTTTTAGAAATGTCTCACTGAGACACTGAAAAGGCAACTTCATTACCATTGTGGTAGTAGTGGAGGAAGATTCTGTTAGGACCAGGGGCATTGCTGTCTCATTGTTTTCATCTAGAAAATAAAGTAACAAGATATCTCTTATAATACTTCAAAACAAAAACCAGAAAGAAATCCTAGCAGATTCATGAGATCTAAGGAATTTAACTCCTAAATTAAGTTCTAACTGATGTAAACACATTGAATTATGTTTGTTAAGGTTGTCATCCTGTGGCTCCCTTTGACAAACATCTTCCCAAAAGTGACTGCTTGAGGCATGGAAAAAGAGATTGAATCAAGAAGCAAGGAGAGTACCCACAACTTATAATATGTAAGAAACCAGGCAAAAGGTGGCTTTCCATGTGTGTAAACAGAATGAAAAACTAAAATATTGGGATACAAATATATGTAAGCGGGCATGTAAATGGTAGATATTACCAAAAGTTAGAAGCAGCAACTGCTTTCAATAATAGTTTCAGTCAGGACTTAGATGTCCAGGCCCTGTTCTACAGAATTAGGGATAGTCTCCAGAGCTTTGTACATATATGAACAATAAATAATGTATGGAGTCATTTAAAGCAGATTGGGGGATAAAACACTGTTTTAGATACTTGATTATAACTATGCACATTGCCCAGACTCACTGTGTAAGATTGGCAGCCGTACAAATGTGATTGAACAAATTAAGAAGAAGAAATTAAGCTCATATTCAAACCATCACCACCTCAGTGCCCTGGTCGTTTTCATGGAAGAGTGGCAAGGAGTGTTGCAACAATGGGTATATTTTTCTAAAATGTACTTCAGAAGCCTTGCTAAGGCAGAAGCAGATTTGAACACATTCCCTAAGTACATACCATAAACACTGGATCTCTTGGCTGGAATGTGATTTCGGCAGAACAGGCTAATAGAGGAACATAAAAAGAAATAAACTTATAGAAGCAAATATTTTCATTTTTATAAAGATTTAACAAAGATCAATGAGTAATCAGGATTTTTTTCATAGATGATAGATAGATAGATAGATAGATAGATAGATAGATAGATAGATAGATAGATAGATAGATAGATAGATAGAT